GAGTACAAAGCATGGGAGGAACACTGTGTCCAGCGCGAGGTTGGGGGGTTGGATAAACAACTTGAAGATACAAATGTAACCAATAAGGGATAGGTAAAAGCTGGATGGGAAATGAAATTTCACATTGGTGATGATTGTAATATTGAGGAGAAAAAGCAAGTGGGAGGCGATTAACCGACAAAGTCGGGGAACTTGGGGGGGGGGGGGGGGGGGGGCTGGGGGAGATGTGAAAGTCACATTAGTCGTCAATTGTTGTGATGACCAAGCTGCTTGGAGGGGATGGGTAATAGAACGGATAAGACAAGAATTGTCAGAGGGGTTATTTTACCTGACAAAAGTGTGTGCAGTTACGTGAGTGAGCGATAAATATTAGCACTATATTTAATAACTGGGTTTCATTAGGCACTAATATGCTAAGAAACCGGGTAGTGGTAGCGTGTGCGTGGGGCGCGACTAGATAAGGTAGATGTCTTGAGTTTTGCTAGACTGCAGTTTGGACCACCCCACGAGCTATATATAAATATGATAAATACAAATAAATTAGATCAAATATGTTCACAACCTAGCAAAGCAAAATAATTGTTTTTTTTCGATTATGTTGTTTTCGTAACTGTGGCAGGCCAAAATCGTAATTGCGATTATAATATGATTAATTGCACAGCCCTCGAATATATCCTAAATAACTCCATGCATTTGACAGGTTTGATTTATTCCATTCTTACTGTATTACAGATTTGAAGAAGACCCTTGCAGTGCTGCTGGATAACATCATGCTGAGGCTCGGTAAGCTGGAGTCCAAGGTGGAAAACATCTACAACAGCACGGGGAGCAACCTGACCATCGGCACCGGCACCATCGTACCCAGCGCCACTAACTCAGAGAAAGTTAACGTGGCAGGTATGTGTTTCATATTTTGCTTTTGAAAACAAGAAAGTAAGAGTGACTTGGCTTCATAAAGTAATTTTTTTGCAAGGACTGTGACTCATGTACGGGCAAGCTTCATGCAGTTTCCACTTCCAGAGAAATCCTGTTATGTATCAAAGTGTGCAATAAACACAAGGGGTTGAGTCCATTTAAAGACATGAGGATAAGCTGGTTAAGGCTGGTTTCTATCACTCGTGTTTTCCCAAAAGGAACGACATTCCCGAGGTGTACAACCAGCTGAACCCTGGCAGTATCGCACCGTGCACACCTGGCACTTTAGAGGACTAGACCGCATCCTTGGACATAATTCAAATAAGGCCTCCGTTCACGCTGCATGACCCTTTTATTCGTCTTTATTGATTTAACTGCCAGCTTTCACATGATGAATTCAGCCCAGAAGAGGCAGCGAGGTGTTGGTTTTTCTGACATCCTTGGACTTGTTTTCCGCTGCGTTAAACAGCAGGAATGTGATGGCATTACACGCAAAATTAGATCAGTCTGATCGAGTTGAACAAAGTGACATTTTGAATGGATCTAATATTAATGGCAGCTGCTTGCTCTGCAATCTTTTATTTAACGTCGAAGCTGCCTTTGAAGCTTTTTCTCTTTTAACCTTGAGTTGAATGATAATCAAAGATATGAGCGTCATTTGAAAGTAATCAGAAACAAGACAATTGACGTCATTCAGCCGTCGGACACTGGTTATGACTCAGAATGTGACTTCTTTATCTCCGTGTTTTAGCACTTTTCCTTTCAAGAGCCAACCGCTAACTAAAACCACCATGCCACTTCCTTTCACATTACGTGCAACATCGTGTGTCGTGTCTATCTAGTTTCGTGTGTGGGATTAAACCAGTCACTTAGTCTGGTTTCGCATCCTCAAAATGAGTTTCTCTTATCTTAACATACATGTTGCATTTACAACTGTACTAATTAAATAACTACAGGGAACGACGGTCACATAATAATGTAAAAATAATGTACAGTGACAAGCAGTATTTAGTAGTGGTAGATGCGTAATTGCACGTTATTATAGAACATTATTGATAATAATAATAATAATAATATTGCACATGTTATATAGCAGAGTGTTTTGTAATGATACACATAAACATGAAACGGACGTATAATACATTACATTACATTACATACTAAATACTGTGGGCAATCCCCACAGGAGCAATTTGGGGTGAAGTGTCTCAGGGACACAACGACATGCTGACTGCTGTGGGGTTCGAACCTGTGCTCCCTGATCCCAACACCAACGCATTAGTCCACTGCGCCACACACCTCCCTAATACACTGCCTTCTCTGATTTGTCCCATTGTCCAAACATGGAGATGAGACTCTAGTCTCACATTGTTGTCAGTAGTGTTAATTTTGTCAGCTATTTTTTTATTTAGTCCTGTGTTCAATGTCCTTGTTAGTTTTAGTCATATTGTGTCACCTTCATCCTGCTTTTATTTAGTCAAGTTTTAGTCGACTAAAAGTCTGAGCATTTTAGTCTTATTTTAGTCAAAGAAAACTGTTGACATTTGAGTCTTTTTTAGTCATCAGATTATATTGAACATTTCAGTCAAACTAGTCAAGCCAAAACCAATAATTTGTCATTTTAGTCAAACTTATTTCACAATAAGATTCTATTTGATCCGTATTTGATGAAAAACCCAGAGATGAGACTCTAATAATCTCACATGGTTGTGAAGAGATGGTACCTGGACCTGTGTGTGACCACATGTCAACACACCTGCAGTGTCCTCTTAAAACTCCCAGTGTTGCTCCTGAGAGACAACATTTGAATGCAGGTCGAGCTGACAAAGCAAACATGTCTCTTGGCATCGAGCTTAATAATAATATTGTAAATCAATGTTATACAAGTACACAAACATGAAACAAACACAAGAGGCGACACTGCCTCTTTGTTGCTTCTCTGATTTGTCCCAATCTGCCCATTGTCAACACTTGAGATGAGACTCTAACATCACATTGTTGGCGGGACACTTGATCTTTGGTTGTGAAGAGATAGTACCTGGACCTGTGTGTGACCACATGTCAACACACCGGCAGTGTCCTCTTAAAACTCCCAGTGTTGCTCCTGAGAGACAACATTTGAATGCAGGTCGAGTTGGCATCGAAGCTAAAGGGCCCGACACTCCCGAATCTCCTGTCTTGGAGTGGGTGGCACGCAGAGCTGCTGCCAAATCCTCCCCGACTGCAAGGCAATTACACAGATAAAGATCTGGACAGTGAGGGGAACACGCCTGGCTTTCAGAGAGGCCTCTATCAAGATGGAGCTGCAGTGCTGGGAATCACGGGGGCATCACAAAACTCACATTTCAGATCATATCACGGCTTTGAGTCTTGGATTAGTACATTTTTCTAATCAAAGAAAAACTGGTATACATGACAGTCGATGTCAAAGCATTTCCTTCTAACTAAATTGTTCCAATAATGCGGTAAAACATGCCTTCATTTAGGGATGCCAGCGATTATTCGATTATTCGAATATTCGTTACAGTCTCTATAATCGAAAATTATTTTTAAAATTCGATTTTATTTATATATTTTTTTATTATTATTTATGTTTTTTTTTCTTTCTCTGGCCTAGTTTCAACCAAAATATAAACTAATGCTAATAATAGTATTAATAATTGTAAATGGCCATTGGTCACACCACCAGTTTGTTTTACTGTAAACTTGGAGGAAGCCAGCAGCCCTTCGCTGCGCTGCTACACACCGCAACAACACTTCATACATGGCTTCTGTTGACATGTGATCATTGTAGGCTACTGTAAACCCAACGTTCTACTTCCTGCTGCAGCTGTGATCTAACAGCTGGTTGCACATTCTGAGAACACAGTATCCTCCTTGTGTAAGTCATCCCACAAAAATGTGGCCTTCTCGCATTGCTTTGAAGTGAAACTGCATTATGTTCGCTGTGAAATGACACTTGTCTTTGCTGCAATGCAATACAGGCATGACCACATTTTAAACATAGCATTGTCAAAGCATCCCGCACGAACGGCATAACATGAGATACTGTACATCCCACAATGCACTCTGAGTGGTCTGGAGTAGTTTCGGCCTTGTTTGCTGTTGCTTTTCACCACAGAAGCTCCTTATAGGATCACAAACAAGTTGATCTGGCCTCAGTTGCCGCTCAGCAGGAGGCAGACGGGACTCCAAAAGCGTTGTGTTGCGTCTCCCCAGCAGTGTTTCATGTGGGGGCTGGAAATGTAATCTCCTCCTACACACACACAAACACCCAGGCGTGGAGAAAGATGTAATGAATGGTCAGGTGGTGATTTACAGCCGACTAACCCACCCATTTTGTTCCCTCTGCCATATATTCCTGCGACTGTTTAAAGTTCCCGACGTCCCTTAGGTGACATTTGGGTGATTTGTAGCTTCCGCCTGTCTTTCGTGACACGATTCCCTTTTTTCTTCAACGGAGAGAGACCGGTGCTTTCACAGCTCCGGGCATTCTCACTGTCTCTTTTCAGATATCGATCCGCGTGCATCTCTGTTTCACTAACACGGTGAAAGATGAGATCCAAGGTCTCAGTGTCAACAGACGATAGAGACGAGGACAGGGTTTCTGCAGGGGATTACACCTGTCCTGGTAACCTCACGGCCCGTCCACACACAGGCATGAAAAAAATCTTTCAAAGCTTCGCCCATTCACTTGAATGGGGTGACGTAGAAGATTTTTAATCTTCGCCGAACTGCATTGTGGGGAGCGGAGCATGGCTTTGCAAGCATCGTGAGCATCAAAAGTTGAGCAATTTTTTGATGCTCCCGATGCTTTCGAAGCTGGCATCAGCCAATCAAATCCAGTTTATGCAAATCCCGCCAGTACAAGCGCTAGCCAATCAAACCGCGTGCAAGCTGGGAGAGCCAGACCGCAGTTCATTTCCTCATATTCCAAACGAGAAATTACGGTAGCAAATCACCCGGTTCTTTACGACCAGAACTATTTACCGGGATATGGAGGGAGGTGGCAGAGACAGTGGGTGAAACTGGTAGGTTTATATCCAGTGTACTTCGTTTTAACATTGCTATTGCTTTGTATGTCGGGGGCGGGAGATTCATGTGATTGGTTGTTGGTCGCGTTGCTCGCAGAAAATCTGCAAGCTTCAGACACGCCCAGCATCAAGATTTTTCAAGATTTTTTTCATGCCTGTGTGTGGACGGGCCGTGAGGGTTTCAATGTTTTGTTTTCAAGATTCAAGGCTTGTATTGTCATTCGTACATAGCTACGGTGTAGTTATGTCGATGGAAATCTTAGGTGCCAGGCTCCTCCAACAGTGCAACACAATAAAACAGATCAAATAGTGCAAGTAAATAACATCACATAGAATAGAAGTAGTGCCATAAGAGTCTATATACAANCGAAAAATCCCCAAGCTCTCAGACACGCCCAGCTCCAAGATTTTCAAGATTTTTTCAAAGCTGCTGTGTGGACGTACCGAGAATCAGGCAGCATTGCGGTGGCATTTCTTTCTGTTGATTTGCTGAACCTAAAGATCATATTCTTGACAGCCAAATAGATTTTCTTCCTGATTTTCACACCACATTTACGTCAGATCTTTTGATTCTGTAATGGAATATATTAGGGCTGTGCGATTATGGCAAAAATCATAATCACGATTATTTTGGTCAATAATTGATATCACGATTATCCATTTACTTTGAAAACATCCATTTATTGAAAAAAATATTNGTCTAATTGTAGCAGTAAGCTAACGAGTACTGATAAGCTTGATTTTGTTTTGATCCAATGCTGCACAACTGAACTGATCCAATGCTGCTGTGAAAGAAAGAAGCTATATCCATGTTGGATAGAATATCCAATTTAAATAAAAAAATAACCTTAAGGGACAACTTGAATGCTTTTTTTTCTCTTAATGCATTATATAAAGATCGGATCGGGAAAAATCGGTATCGGCAAATTGTCAAAATCAAATGATCGG